TTTCGTTGTAAACTCGTATCGAGAACTGCAACACTGTTGTGTAAGAGTAGAAGGCCTTCGCAAGAGAAAGATGTGTTTCTCAATGCTCCTTGTCATCTAGTGATTGTTCACTTTGTAATATGCACATTATTTATATTATTCATGTAGGTACCCTCGACTAGGCGTTAGGCTGTAAATTATAGTGGGGCTTATTAAGTCCTAATAGGTCGACAACGCCCATCGGCTTTATGCCCAATGTCCCATCTAGTAAACTAATACTTCTTAAATAATCGAGCAAGCTTCATATCCGGGCATTTTGTTTCGGAGGATAATCTCTTTTGAAGTATCTATATTAAATATGTATGTTTCTAAATTGCTAATTTATTTCGCGTTTTGAACCGTTTAAAGTTTCATTTGAATGTGTGTGTGTTTTACTGTTTTTACATTTAAGTCTCTTCTAATTGCTCCCCTCCAGCCCTTTTTTCTTTGTTCTCTTTGAGATAACCTGCGAGGATTTAATAGAATATTCGCTTAACACGTTGAGATAAACTGTACAATGTACGGATGAATAATATGACTGTACAAACACGATGCGCGGGTGCATGGCTTGTATAACAGTTGGGTTGATGTTATGCAACCAGAGCCAAGCCGACAACGGCAGGCTGTAATTACACGCTACCGCGCCCCGCACCACCCCGCCACCCGCCACCCGCGTTACCTGCTACCAACGTTAGCCTGCATGTAATATGCAGCTATAGATATACGATAGAAGAAAAACATCTCTATCCACCAGACTTTTCCCAACCATTTACGAAGCTGTTTCATAGATGACAAAGCCGTGAAGTTTAATGACGTTTCAATTTTACTCTGTTGATTTCCGAATATCCAAAACCAAATTAGGATAGCACATCTTGTTTAAATGTTATATGGTTACTGCACTTATCATTCCCTTCTCTAAGATAAAAAAGGTAGGCTTTAAATAAAACACCTTAACGGTTTAAAACGCGATATATTAGTTAAAATTATTTGAAAATGATAAATCGCGTCTAATATATCGCGTTTTAAACCGTTAAAGTGTTTTATTTAAATGTGTACTACTCGCGTAAACTATAGGTAGTCTTTAGTAAATTTTAGAGCGAAGCCGATTCACCGGTTTTTGGACAATCCGAAGCCGAAGCTAATACATAGCAGTATGTAGGAAGTAAGGTATTTTGATACCAATATCGCTCTCATTAATTTAAGAAATAATCTACTTTACACTAAAGTACAATATTAACTTCAAATTTGTCAAAACTTAGGCATACAAAAGGAATCAGTCCTTTCGCGTTTAACACGGTTTTTGCAAACTATTATGATTTGTTAAGAATGTTTTAAAAATCATTTAAAACAAATACCTTTTAATATTAAAGTTTACTTATTCAGATTGAACGCCCAAAATATTTTTTCTAATTACAATATCTTCTGAGATGTAGCCAAATAGTTAAACGCAATTTATAGCATTGCGTTAAGCCCGAGAGGTTCTGGGTTCGAATTCCACTACTGTTTCGGTTATGTAGGGCACAGAAGTGATCAAATACTAATACTACTATTTAGTACAATTTAAATAAAACACTTGAAACTCTCCCGTGACCAGTGCTGAAAGCATCCGAAAGTCGGGCCGAAGTTAAAAATCAGTTTCCAATAATTTTATAATATATTTTAAACCTTAAAGTTTTTATTTAAAGATCAAATACTTTCCTGTTAAAGAACCGATGACTGAAACGGACACAAAAATGTGTTAGCCCTAACGATTAGTCTAGTATTAAAAGTGAAAACACTTTTTACAATAGAGACGGTTTACTATACTATACGACTATCAATATTATTGGTTTCGCCTACAGGTGTATTCGTTACATCTTTACGGTGGGTGTAACACAATACATGAGTCAGGTTAACAAAAAAGGGTCCGTAAAAACGTAGCTTAAACCCAGAAGTTTTTTGGGTTCCGTACTACTAAAGCTTGACCGACTACTGTCCATGCCAATATATACAGGTATACTAAGAGGAATAATGGTTCGTTTGTTTGTTTGAACGTGCGAACACGAAAAAATGTCAATTCTGGTTAGAATTGTCAATTTTTTCGTGTTGATTGGAAACTTTATCGAGTTAGGCTATACCTATGAAATATACATGCTGCGAAGAATGGGAGCGAAGGTACAGAGGGAAATGTGGAAAAACGAGGAAAATTATTCATCTTTGTGGGCTATACGAAAACGGTACAAAAACAAAAAATACGTCAAATTTTCCTATTTAAAAAATCTAAAATAATGGTCGCGCCGACGACGTGGGTAATCACGTGGGTAAAAAATAACTATTCTAGGCGGACGAAGTCGCGAACACAGCTAGTATTTACAAAAAACAAAAGAACCTTCGCCCGGTCAGCCAGTGACATTATATCCCTAATCTTAGGAAACCCTTCGCGCGCTCTTCAAATCTTACTTGGCAGTTTTTTTTTAATCTTGACCCGTGAAAGGGTGTGATGATGCAGGTGCATTGCTGTACAGCTGATAGCTAGGCCAAGTTCATTACCGTTCCGTGCAAATCGATTCGCCTTGGTCATGCTTGATCAGCTTTCCAATATGCCTTTGCCTTATCTTCAATTTTTTCACGTCCCTTCTTATCACTGTATCGGAACACATATATTCCAATTTGTATCACAGATAAATATTATCATATGCGTTTCCTTTTTTATACCAGAACTGACTCAATTTTTGCGTTATTAATAGTGTAAACGTGGGAATTACATTAAGATACTTTCATTTCAAGTAACTATAAAAAAAGGAAGAAAGACTAGTATAGGATTCATTTGAAGAAAAAAAAGTACGCCAATCACGTGGTAACAAGATGTGTCGACCTATTTCGGTTTTGACTGAAACTCCTACGCGTTTCGCATCTGGGAGCATCATTATCATCAATGGTTCAGTTCCTTGTGGGCCTTAACCTTCTCTAGTCGTTTTCGCTTTAGCGATCTATCCTGTGTTTCCTGTTTCCAGTTCTGGACACGCAAGCCAGCCAGTCAGCAATTTTGTTAGGACCCTAAACTAAATAAACACAAAAATGCAAATATGACACAAGAAAAGCGATACAACACACTACTATACAATTTGATTAAGTCCTAGGATATATTAGTTAATAACTCTAGCCCTAACTAGGATCTAGGATGGCATATGTATATCGTATGGACATTGAAATAGTAAATTTATTGCAGGTATAAACTAAATCGCAATTTTATCTCGCAATTATTCCATCATTAAAACCATTTAAGTGTAAAGAAAGTACATACAATAACCATCCATTGCGGCGACTACTGCGTGGTTAGACTCTGGTCAGCTATAAACGCCACACGAAGCGTACGTTGTCACGCGTTATATTCCAATAAATTCAAAATACTTACATGTCTTAAATTGTCTGTAGTTTTCGCGAGTAGTATATATTTAGCGGTTTTAAACGATATTAGTTTTATTTTATTTTAACTAAGAACACAGGTGCCGCAAAGCCGCTAAAAGTTATTTATTTAATGTTTTAGCTTAAAGACGACATAGACATTGTTTTGTTCTACTCAATTATATATTTGAGTAGAAAACACTTTGATGCGACGTAACGCGTTACGCTATACGCAGCCTATTGCGTTTATGGGAGACAACAGCCTTACTCATTCACTAGGTCGGACGCGTCGCGTCCGGTTTCCTACAAATTGGTCACATCGACCGCTAAGTAGGAAGATTCGGCTCGCATAAGGTGTGTCCGCGGTCTCTCTCGCCGACGTGTAATGCACAAACCTTGCACTTTTATTTTGACAGCCGTCAACTCGGTTTTCGCCATTTTTAATGAGCGCCGAACTACTTTATAAAAGTAAAAGTTGCGCGAGATTTCTTTTTTATACAGCTGTTTCAAAATTGATTTATGACTCGGTAGCGAGTAATTATTGTTAATGAAAGCGCATTCAGTGTTTTGATCGTGAATTTCCTGAAGCAGAAGGTAATTTGACGGTCTCGTTGGTCTCATTATAGCAATGTATGGGTAATGATCAACGGGTCGCGGGTTCGATCCCCACCAGGTTCAAGATTCTAATTTTTCCGAAATACGCTGGACTTTTGTAAATCTGGATATTAAGTGGCTGGTAGGAATATAGAAATTCCGTCCGGGGCACGAACCACCGTCCACAGATAAAGCCATGAAGCTTAATCGCGTTTGGCTATAGTCTGTGGATTTCTGAATATTCAAAGCCGAGATAGATTGACAGCGCCTCTTGTCTAGATGCTATAAGCCGGGGTATAACACCTACCGTCACATGAGCCCCATGCCACGTCTGTCCTCCTATCATTAAAAAAATGCTGCATTCCGCCTCCGTTTTCACATATTAGCATGTATAATGCGGTCTTAATAATTCGTGCAAAAGAAAACGAAAAAAAAAAACTAATTCTAAAGCATGACCCACTTCTTACATGTATTGTAAAAAACGATTTGTTAGCATGATTTTAACATATAACATATTTTGCTTTCGAAAAGAGTGAAAATCTGTGATATATGTATTCTTTTCAGGCTCGTTGGTTTAATGAATTGCTAATAGTCGTGGGTTAGATCCTCTCAACCAAAAATAATTCTAAAAATAAACTCATAATTTTTCGACTTCTTCGAGAAAATTTTGACATTAAATCGATGGTAGGAATATGGGAACTCCATCTAGGTCAACAATTCTTCTGAATGTCCGGAGTAATAGGTCGATAGCACATCTTGTTTAGATGTTCCATTCTTGGATATATCAACTTTGATCATGTGTACTATAATAAAAAATCGTCCTTACTAGAATTAGACAAGGAATAAAACTATAATAGTTGTATCCTTATATCTGAGTTTTATGTAACTCATCTAAAACGAGGCTATAATTTATAATTAATATACCCTTAATAAAACATCAGTTTTGTTCTGTATAGCCTGTTAACTAGTAACTCTTTATACTTAATATTATTTTCCACTTCCAGTCACATAACAAAGACGACGACATGGGAGGACCCACGCAAGACCCTCGCAGCACAGACAGTAGCTGGTGGAGTCCAGCATCAGAGTGCTGAAGCATTACTTACGCAGACCCCAACCCCACAACCACTAGCAGCCCCCACCACAGGTAAATCTATTAAACTTCTTAGTTAGCTACATACATAGCTATAGTGTAGTAGTAAACATCTTGACGCGCACCTTATAGGAGATCAAAGACTTACTTATCCACTCAGTTATTTTATACTAGCTGTGGCAGTGACTTCGTCCGCGCAGAATAGTTATTTTAGGCATCAAAATGTTTTTGCAACCCTCCTTATCTCACGTTCGCGTCTCATCGTTCTTGCAAGTTAATTTCAAAAGATAGACATATACTATCATGGATGGCATGGCATTTTTTATATAATTTAAAATGTAATCATTCTTTCATACATATTTCTGGGTATCTTGCACCGTTTTCGCAGAGCACGCAACGGAAGCCCTCAGAGATTATCAATATTTCCCATTTTTGCCACGCACTGTTTTTTTTTTCGTTCCCATTGGTCGCAGCGATATTCCTTATATCCCGAAGCCTTCCTCAATAAATGTACTAATATCTAATACGACTACTTATCGCACTGAATCGAGTCTTGTACGAATACTTTATATGTTTGGGACACTTTAATATATATATATATATATATATATATATATATATATATATATATAAAATAATGTGATAAATGCAATCAACTTAAAAAATACACTAAAAATAATTTTTGGTACCTTTAACTTGTTTCTAGTAATCAATCAAATCAAAGGAAACGCGTTAGATTAGTGTATCTTATCTAATGATCCATTTTGACTACAAAATTCAAATCCTAGGAAGTGGATTATCATTAAAGTTTAGTCGTCACTAAATAATGTATTTTTGGAACATTGGAAATTTTGGAAAATTCTTTAATTTGTATAGTCCTACTAAGATAAAATTAACTAATATCTTTTACTTAAATCTGACGGGTTGGTTTAAGAAGCAATGGATAATAATAAGTTGAGATATGGATAAATTTATTTATATTTTCAAATTTTCTTTTCTTTAATTTTCAAATCTTTAATTTCAAATGCTGATTTTCGCTACATTATGTTTGAAAACTTTAATATTTTTCACATGATGGCAGTATATAAATTAAAAAAAATATTTTTGATTGTAAAAAGCCCTGCTACAACACGGGAGCAGGGCTTGTGCGAGAGGTGCAGTTATCAAAAGGTTTAAAAACTTCAACGATGATGGTTAGGACACGGTAGCTCAATTTATTAGAGCTAGGCGCTGTGGAGGCCGGCTCTAGTGCCGCCTCTAAAATGTTTAATCTAAAATCGATTATTAATGTATATGGATGCTACATGACTGATCCAACAATAAATCTCAAATAGTTACGGTTATTAGGCGCATGCGCATAATTCTCACGTGATCTAATTGGCTTTGGAGCAGCGTTTAAAATTATCATGGAACTAAAATAAAAACAAGTAAATAACCCAAATTCTAAAAGTGATTTTATGACGGGAATTAACGCGTTGTTTCCGCTGGTCGATGCGCGACGAGCGTTGAAAGGCGTTCAGAAAATACATCGCTGCGTCTGCGCGGGCGCCGGGGCTTTGGCGCCTGCCTGCCGATGTTCAGCGGCCGCTTGCGACATCCGTCTAGCTGAGATACAGTTGGGATGCTTCCATTGCTTATGTCCTTAGTGCTTGGCGGAACTAGTACGAATAACTACCAACTAATGTTAAAAAATATACTTTGAGATGGTACCATACAATAAACCTCATTTCTAGTGGCCTTTTTTCTCTTTCAATATTAAATACTTATTCTCAAATAGCGTTATTGCTAGCTTGGTAAGGTTGGACTAAACGACTTGACACACTGGGTATTTCATTAGAATATAACATTAAAAAAAAATTCTATCTTCAGTCTCCGATGACCACGGCTGCTGCAAAGCATCCGAAACGTCGGGCCATTATTAAAAATAATTTTCAAATAAGGTTAACTTAAATATAAATATAAATAATAGAGTTTTAAATCGTTAAAGTGTTTTTAAGTAAATTTTTATCCTTTTTTCGTATTAGCGAGATAGACACGAATGCTTTTAATATCGAGAAAATCTGTTACGTTTATTAGTAACTAGCTGAGTCACGCGACTTCGTTCGTAGAATAATTAATTATTTTGGATATCAATGTTTCTTTTTGCAAACCCCTTGTTCAACTCTATAAATTTGAGCTATGACCCACGACGTCGTCCTTGCAAGTTAATCTTAAAAGATAGACATACACTGTCTCAAAAATATTCTTTGAATTCGAACCAGTAGTTCCCGAGATTAGTGCGTTCAAACAAACTCTTCAACTTTATTTAAAAGTATAGATATAGATACTGATTTGCAATTGCTTAATTAGACATTTAAATCATTTGATATGAATATTGAACACGCTGACACCGACGCGAAATTATAAGTGGGATCTTTTTACGTAAATTATGATTAGGTAGTTAATTTTGCTTGCAAAGTGAAGTGAGTTATTAGCTTACGATAAGATTATAATTCACGTATACTCGGGATATAACAGAAAAGTTAGTATTGTTATATCTTTGGCTGTCGTATTTCTTGTTTGGCAGAAAAGTTTACTTTGCTCCTTGTGCCTAAATTGTAGGTCGGGCAGAACACAGATTAAATTTGACTTTAAATATAATCGAGTGGAAAATATACCTTTAAACATGTCTATTTCATTATTTACATAATCCCCCATTAAAAAATAAAAATTTTCATATATGTCTTTAATCACAATTAAAAAGGTGTTTTGCTTACTTAGAGAATGGATGGACAAACATACACACTACCGTATTTAAGATATTTGAATTTAAACCACAGAGAACCATGACGTCATGTTAGTGATCCAGTTGCGGAAGAGAAGCCATTCTGTTAAGTAAACAATTTCCATTCAGAAACGCTGTTTACCTATTTTTAACAGATCGTGCCCGCGAGGGTTTTCTTAAAATATATTTTATGATATTACTATCCAGTCCTTGGTTTTTCAACGTTTCCACCGGTTTTGTGTCACGTCTATATTTGTTGTTATAATTAGCTGTAACTTTTGATAAATAGAACGTGATCATGTCACGTTTTGGATACCATCGCACTCATGGTGCTTACCTGAGAGGAGGGGGGGGGATTGCCAGTCATTTTTGTAATTATATACCGCTCCTATCTTTTACCCATTTTGACGTTACGTCATGCATTGTCGCGGGATTGACGGGAAATTAAATTTCCTTACATATACAATAGTATATAATTGTCATAGTACAGTTGGGATTCCTAGCTATAGTTGCCCCCCTCCTCCCGCCCCTGCCCTCGTGGTGTAAGCCTATGATCTCACTTGTTAACCTAAAATCGGAACAAGTGTCAAAACGCTTATCTTAGTCTCGCAGACTGGAAACAAATATTAACCGTAGTCCATACAATAGATCACACGACTGTTTTCATAGCACATTCTTTGTTTTAAACTGATATCGCGATAAAACCTTTCAAATAAAATAGCATTCTCATGCGCATACCAGTGGCCTGAGTATTGTGCCTATCTAATTTCAAAGGAGTTCGGGTTAAATTACGGCTGAGTTTTGAATCTAAACCGACCTTCGATTAACTAAAATGTTGATGTCGACAAATGATTTAGTAAAATAATTACGTATTTACCTTTTTGTGATAGAGCAGGACAGACAATCATGGGCGTACTCGATGGTAGAACCGATGCGCTGTCCACCTATTTGGCTTTGGATATTCGGAAATCCGATTAAAACCAAAACGCGATCAAACTTGGCCGTCATTTGTGGACGGCGGTTCGTGGCCCGGACGGAATTACGATTTTCCTACCAACAATTTACTATTCACATTTTGCAGACGGAGTCCCAACACGTTTCAGAAAAAGAATATAGGTATAAATAGTTTTGATTAATGTTGGACCCGGTGGGGTCGAACCCACGAATCGTCGATAATTTATAAACATTTCGTCCGATCAGATCAGTGAGGTATGTCTTTTTACATTTCAATAAGTATTAATCTTTTCCCAGAAGTATATCAAGCTAACATAATTTGGCAAAACTTATTTTTCAGTCAGTCCATAGTTCAAACATTGACAGTTTCGTAGATCGATATATCGATGCGCATGCGTCGATTAGCTATTCACTCAAGTCATTGTATTATTGAATAATAATTTGCAAATTAAACATAATTGGCAATGGCCTCTAAATTACGTGACCGGTTTTGTGCAAAATGCGTTAATGTTCAGCACTAATTATGATAATAGATTATTGCTTATTGTATGGGGCTTTGAGACTGGGTATTAAATCGAAAATTAGGCCGACAACGCATCTTTCACATTCACTGATCGCTTTTATTAGTAAGTAGTCTATCCGTCTTGTGCTCACAGTAAAACTATTTTTTATTGTAAAATTCGAGTGTATTTCGAGCACTTTAACATTTACCCACGTAGTCACATGTTATACAATCTATGATATTGAGTTATCTGTATTTTAAAAATATAATTCTCCAACATCTAATGCAGCAGTAATTCGTGTGTATTCAGTAATAAATAAGGAGTTGGAAACTATCATAATCTAGCGAGAATCCGGATCTAAAAGATATCTATTCAGGTGTCAAAACATCGTGACAGGAGATTTATATATATAAAGATTAAATAATATATTTCGCGTTTTATTTAAAACTAACCACTTGAGCCATGCCGCGACTTTTATCTTAGTCATGCTGATAATAATTAATACGAGCGTAAATTGTAATTAAACATAATGTACAGCGTATTTATGAATGGCTGCCTTTTGTTGAGCTACATAAATAAGTTCGCGTGAACGGCTGCGGAACGATGATTCACGCCGATCCCATACACCGAAGTAAAATATAGTATCAAATGAACGAAACGTGTATAGTCTTAAGCGAAAACAAACATGGCGTCGTATTGGCATGTTTTCAATCGCGTAAACAACTCTGCGCTTGGGCAATGTCGCTTATACCATACTTTCCTAGGAAACGAGACATACTGACTTTCTTGGAACCATGACGACCTTCCCGACAACACGGTCACGTGTTTCATTTACCGTTTGCTTGCAACTAGTCGCTGTTGAGAAATTCAAAGGTCGTTTTGTTTGTTACTGTTAATATTAATTCGGGGCGTTTGATGATTTCAGCAGCGAAGAGTACAAGTAGCACGGCGACGACAGACCCCCTAGGGCCACTGCCGGACGGCTGGGAGCAGGCCACGACACCGGAAGGAGAGATATATTTCATTAACCACGCTGCTCGCACCACGTCTTGGTTCGATCCTAGAATACGTAAGTTCACCTGGCGTTTCGGATACTGAAACACGGCTATTCAAAGAACAATGGCCAAATTTATATAGGTGCTGTACCAGACTAAAAATTGACGCGACTTACTAACAAATCATTAAGGGTTACTTTGATGTAAAACTGTCTGTAGTTTACGCGAGTAGTACACATCTAAATAAGACACGTTAACGGTTTAAAACGCGATATTAGTTAAACTTATTTGAAAATTATTTTAACTACGGCCCGATGTTTCGGATGCTTTGCAGCAGCCATGGTCACGGGGAGACTGAAATAATTTTCAATGTTTAACTAATATATATCGCGTTTAAAACAGTCAAAGTGTATTATTTACTTCGATGTATTAAACAGCAGTCTGTACGAAAACATTATTTAAAAAGTTTTACTTTTGAGGTTATAATCAATAAATAAGTTTAATTAGTAATCTTAACTAGCTTTTTTGTTAAGTTTATAAACACAGTTATGTAAAAAGCTCATATAATAAAAAAAACTGTTTTTTTTTTATTATATGTAACAAATGGTCGTCGTTAAGTACGATTTGGCCATTGTTCTTTAACCCAGCAATCAATCCCATTCCAATGACTTCATACGGTTTTCAACACAAAAGGGATTTTTTGTTGTGTTTTTTGTACTGATGATAATCTTTTGGTTTTCCAGCGCAACATTTGCAGCGCACGCCGGCTGCGAATGCTGGTGCGGCTGGCGGAGGGTGGGCGAACGCGTCAGTGCAAGCTTGCCAACAGAAACTGCGTTTACAGTCATTACAGCTGGAGCGTGAACGACTGAAGCAACGCCAGCAAGAGATACGGCTTCAGGTACATTCTCACTTCAACTAGATCATTAATTTTCAGCTGGCGTGCTCGCAAATGTAACTCGGTTCCGGATGTGACCTGGATGGCAGAAGTTTAATTAAATTTTAGTTAATTCTCCTCATAAAAAATATACTTAGTTATGTCAAGACTGTGTCTACCCAGGACTCCCTAAACTACTTATGAATAATAATAACTATAATGTATTTACAATATAAATATATGCTCTACATCATTATTGTTGTACGATTTCAGCAAGAATTAATGGCGCGACAGTCGTCATCAATTGTATCTTCGTTGGCAAGCAGTACCGGAGCAGCTACCACGGACCTCTCTCTGGATCCTTTCCTCCCAGGTCTGAACGACCACCAGCGTCAAGAGTCCGCTGACAGTGGTCTCGGAATGGCGGTCTCTCAGTCCTATTCTATGCCTCACACGCCAGAAGGGTTTTTGGGAATGGATGATCGTATGGACTGCACCAGTGAAGCTGGTGCTAACCTTGATACGGACATTACTCTAGGAGACCCAGACGATTTGGTAAGTTGAAGACTACAAATTTTTGTATTGTTCCAACTGCCTCATTGGTTAGTGCTTCGCTTATATCCACGGACCCTTAGGTTCGAAGCCTGGGCCAGGGATATGTTTTGATATTGGGAATTAGGTGAGGTGTCATTTTCACCCCTGTACCTGGAAGACCACGTTATAAATTGTCTATTTCCTCTTAAGGGATTTGTTGCATTACTATATCTTCTATCTTGGATTTTTAAAGTCAAAATGTAGTTCCATGCTTTTTTGTGTCTTGACTACTTGACCAAGTCAATTGTCTGTACTAATTACCTGACTATTCTTTCAGTTGGGCGAATTCACTAACGACATACTCCTGGACGACGTGCAGTCCTTAATCAATTCGACTCCAAACAAGCCAGACAACGTTTTGACATGGCTGTAGAATCCACGGACTGCCAATCAATACTGAACGTACAATAATATGTGCTTTGTAAGTACTCATACTAGATATATCGTCTTACATTTTCGTAATGTATACGACTTTGAGGATTTTAATGAGACGGTGGTTCACTTGAATTAAACAATTGTTAAGTCTTTGCGGTCTTAGGGGTCGTGGCCAAGTAAGTCACGAAACAGTATGTAACAAATTGGCATATAAATTATCTAAAAACTGTCTGTTGTTTACGCGAGTACACATTTAAATAATAACATATTTAACGGTTCAAAACGCAAAATGTATTAGTTGAACCCGCTAAGACCTCATCGATCTCCCCGTGGCCGCGGCTGCTGCAAAGCAAAGGAAACATCGGGCCGGAGTTAAAATGATTTCTAAAGTTTTACTTCGCGTTTTGAACCGTTAAAAATGTTTTATTTAAATATCTATTTGAAATTCGTTATCGTTTATTAATTATAAACTTCGCTACGGCCCCGCCATTTGAAAGAATTATTCGTCGTATCTCTGCATTTATAAGAATGGGATGCGGCTATTGTATAACATTTTGGATGTACCTATTATTAGGTGCGTTATGTCGTCTCTATAATGTTACAGATAACGAAAAATATCTGACATCTATATCTTTAAATAGCCACGACTGAATGGCTAGTCACTTGTACATATTGACTGATACAGGCCACCAGAAACAGTGAGCATCACCTTCTTTCGCACAGAAAGAAGCCGTTTTGCTGCAAACTCGCAAGATAAGTTTCCATAATCTTCCCGACTAAGACTATCGGAAATTCTACTCTTAGATTATACTTTGAATGACTACAAACTATGATTGTGATACCATCTCGACGTTAATACGTGCCTTTTCGTGCCTTTATAAAGTGTATTTATTGTGTTATTATATAGGTAATGATGTGTAATAAAGATATATTTCTACAAATTTTTCGACGGACTCGTCCGTATTTGGTAACGATTTTAACTACTTATATACTATATGTGTTGTAGTAACGTTTTTTTGTCTACTTACACCGTCCTTGTGTATTTTTCGAGATTATAATTTAGTTTTTAGATTAGTGAATCGTAAAGTAGATAGATTACTGTTAAGTTTATAAATAATCGGTGCGAAGTTGACACATTTGAGATGTGCGCGTTGTGTCGCTAGTTTTTAACGTTAGCTAAACATCATTAATTGTGTTTCAAATGTCGCATTACAGAACTAGGCCTCTCGGGAAACAAGAGGTTTCGCTAACATTTGAAATTGGAGTGTCTAAGCAAATACCTTTGTCTACTGTATACTTTTCGTAATTATTTACGACAGTCATTCGTTTCGACAGTAATCCCGCGATTGGAAATTTGATTGTGTGCGTGTTTCACATTAGTTTTGAAACTGCATGTGTGCTAGTGAAGTGAACTTAACCTATGTCATTAAATAGTACTCATTTATAATCGGTTTAAGCCTAACAATATTTCAAAATTACGTTTAGCCCACCTAGTCTAGAGTTTTGTATGAGTTCAGTAATATCGAGATTAGGTCTATTGAAATGCTACATTGAAAACTTTGCCATATTAGTAAATGTACTTTATTCTTTGTAAGACTAATGTAATCGTTTTTTTTTAATAGCAACTGTGTAACTATTATAATTAGTTGTATCGGTGCTGGGGTTATTATACATTTTTGTACTCTGTAGATGCCTTTGTTGTACTTTATTTTGTATTTGTCGTATTAATTATCGTATTAAGATGTAATATTTTTAATATTGTTCGGTTAATCGTTCTGTTCGCTTGTTTCCTTACTTAGATTAGATTATGTTGACTTAAGTGTCGCTTAATGATATTATACTTTGTCTAATATAGGAAGAACAGTTAGGTCCATGCACGTATTTTTGATAAATATTGTACTTCATTAATGCGGACCGTTAACGAAGTGTAGTAACTTGAAAAAAAAAAAGAAAATTTTATTTCTATGCCTATTATTATAGAGTAAACACAGAGATGCTTATAAATTTGTCATATTCTGTGAAATATTAGTTAATCACTCTATTTTAGATTACAGTATGGATGCGTTGTACTTGGTTAAACTTGTCATCCTATATTAGACGTAGTATAGCTACGGCTGCGTTATTACTTAATTTTTAAGAATCGAATCATTACACTGCACTGTGTATCCGATAAACGAAAACTTAGTAGGTATTATTCTATGCCAGGATTAACACAATTGGATAAACGCACTCAATCGACCAAGTACCACAAAGCACGGAAATTTTATTAGTAAAAATATGTCAATTATGCGCGCACAAATATTTTTAAAGTAGTATTTTTTATCTTCTAATCAACGAGCTGCGTGGTAGAGGATCGATTGTAAAGTCTAGTCATGTTTTAATTTGGTATCGCTGTCGTCTCGATAGTTACTCGACTAGACGTCTCGTGAATTGTGTACCAGTTAGCAGAATTGGATCCCCGGCCTAGCAATCAATTAATTACGTATTTATTTGGTATTTCGGCCTTTTGCAATAATCCAGAAAGGCACGCGTTTGTTACCTACTAGTTTCGTTAATACGACAAAACATTCCATGTTGCTTCAGCGCCCGGGCCGCGTCTCGCGTCCGGCTACAAAGGAATAACTGAACAATATTAAAAGTGAGTTAATTTCTAAGTATAGCCTTTAATACAAACATATCTTTCTTACAAATGCAAGTTTTCTCTGTAGTGTAAATATATCGATCGATGTTATAACAATGAAATTAATAAGATTTATGTAACTAATTTCATTGTTTATAATCTGATATTTCTATATGAATTAAATATTTGTTTAAATATCCATTGTTTTTTTCATTTCTTCAGAACTCCGTTTTCGAACGATACTGTAAATAGAATCGTCAAAAATTATGTTTTCAAAATAAGTAACTGTCAGAAAAATATTTCATTGTTTCTCGGATTAGAGGACAATAATAATAATAATAATATTGAGATATGTTAGTTCCTATGTATATTAAAAAGTTGTTAAATTAGATATTATAATGTAATTATATATGTGTAATATAATTATTGCTTATTAATTTTTTAGCCATCAATCAATAAAAACATAACAAATATTAGAACCAGAAGAGCGCATGCATAACTGAAATATTATTCTCACTAAACCGTGCAGTGTGCTGACACTAAATATTATTACGGGTTAAAAAGCGATTTATATTAGCTTAATTAATTTGAATCAAAAGACATTAAGTTACTGATTTAAACCGCTCTAAAGTATTTCTTTTCGTTATATAAACTACGAAATATATAGGGCATGCAGGAAAAAAGTAAACGCCATTATTTTAATACTGTATTTAGTTAATTATACTAATATTGATGCAGTGTCATCCACTCCGTGTAATTTCAGTACCTTCTTTCCTGTTAAATTAAAAAAAAAATACTTAGATAAGCGTACATATAAGTAATAATTTATATACTATAATGTTAATAAAACAGTCCTATAGACGACTAGCAAAAGCATATATGCAACAGAAAGGAATTAATGATTTGAAAAAATATTTTTCACATGCTATTGCACATGATGACACTTAAATTAAAAATCGATTACAATTTGATAAATAAGTACGATCCGGGCACGAGTTGAACCGGCATCCACAGTGTTCCGTGCAGTTGCTCAAATCTTACCTTATCGTATAATTTTTTTTCGATTTATCATCGATTTTTAATTTATATAATACTTTTCGAAGCAAAGCGTATGCCTATATAATCTATCAATAAAGGGGATAAGCATATACACATATATATATATAGCAAACATTTCAAATGTAAAGATACCACAAAACATCGTTAATTGCTTACTGAAGGTTTCTTGAACCGTTCGTCTTGAGGTAGCTCGCGATTAGCTGTTAGCTGCTTGTAATAGTCCGCTGACAGCTTGGCTGTTCGCGGACGAGCTGGGTCCGTGATATCCACGTGGTAAAAGCCGAAACGTTCTCTGCGTGTTGACGAATTATATGTGAAAAAAAATACAAATTCTTAATTTTCCTTCAAATTACTATCGAAGTAACTAACTAAACTAAAGGATTGCCTAAGTAATAATAATAGAAAGCTACATATATATTATGTTAAAAGAGTTAAGAGATAAACACTCGACGTTTGATAGGTCGCGAGTTCGATTTCCACCAGGTCAAATATTTCTTAAAACCTATTTACAATTTTCCTAATACATTTATATAAAACACTTAACGCTTTAACACACGAAATGTTAACTGATTTACAAATTATTTTAATAACGAAAAGGCGGGCTGCAGTTTAAATATATCAGATAGCTAATACATTTCGCGTTTTAAGCCGTTAAAAGTGTTTTATTTAAATGTGTAATACTCGCGTTTTTAAAAACGTGTAAGACTTAGTGTGAAATCTGTATATCAATGGTTGGTATAAATATCGAAATTTTGTTTAACGATCAACCAAGAACATCGAAATTCCGTCCGAGACACCACCACCACCACAGATAAAAAAGCCGTGAAGTTTAATAACGTTTCGTTCAGTCTGTGGATTTCCGAATATCCAATCGTGTTTAGATGCTATATGCGGTATTTCATCCGTCCTCTATCATTAACTTATCTGTCTCTTGCTACCTTTTTATTCCACTCAAATACTTAGTATATAAGGAAATCTATGTATAACCACTCACGAGAATCCAGCCCTCCACTCAAAGTTGTCCATGAGGGTCCAGGCTGTATAACCAAGCACCCTGACGCCGTCATCGTTGATCACATGCAAAATTGCACTCAAATGGTCCTGAAATTGTAAATTAAGTGTTTTAAAAAAGCACTTGCGATGTTGAATATGGAATATGTTAAAATAAAACTTATTTAAACGAGTTTAATTTCAAAATTCCATCTAAATAGATTTTCCTAATTTATATCGTACAATATATGTATTCAGTTTTTTTAATTTATACGTCAATGGTTGTTAAATAATTTAACTTATAATATAAATTTTTGGGTGCTCGTCAGCTTTTGTGATGTTTTAGGAAACGATCTGTGTTTTAGCTCGTTTAATTTTTTTTATATGTTATCTACTAGCGCAATATATAGCGTATTCATTGTTATAATTCTAATCTATGGGAATGATCGCTTCTGTAAGTGATAAAACGTGTTGCGTAGCATTGCGTTAAGCGTGAGAGGTCCTGGCTTCAGTCGGGCAAAACACAGAAGTCTCATCTACTACTTGCCTTTAAATGAAACCGATCATTAATACGGACACATAAATGCATTCGGCCCACGGGGGCTAACGGGATTTCCTTTGTATTTCTGTGTATAAATTCTAAATTCCTTACGTTAAAATATTTGATGCGATCGTAATCCTCGAGAGTTCCACGGTCAGAGTAGCCGTTCTCAGTGATGTAGATTGGTGGGTTATTGTAGCTACTCTTGCACCAGCGCAACAGATTCGCGAAACCGGTTGGCACGACCTGAAAATCGTATCATATTACAACAATTAAAGTAAAATAGCCTGGGTTACACTTGCCGACATAGGTGCAAGTCTATTTATTGTGTTTTCTAGATATTAAGTATTGACTTCTTATTGTATGTTATGTAAAGGTGTCAATGGCTTCATGGCTTCCAATTGCAATATTAAAGAGTTCTACTTAGATTAAATACATACATTTTTTATCATCATTTACATTACATCATTTACAAACTAAATAAAAAATGATAAAGTAAGTACTATTTTAACGAACATATTATCAACTGTATTTTATGAAGTACCTACCCATATGTGAATTGATACTATGTGTGTACTAGTAATCTTACCCGGAACCATGTAGATGCTGTCGGTTCTCCAACTTCCAAAGATGTTATCGCACCAATATCGTTCCACCATGATGGGGACTTGGCATTTGGATCCAGGCCGGGTCCAGTGACCAGATGAGTCGTGTAATGGTTGATTCCAAGGAAGTCAGATGTCCCCTTAATCCTCTCAATCCAGTAGTCGTCGAACTGCTCTAAGCGTGGCTTTGTCAAACCTTCAGATCGGCTGTTCTGAGCGACATTTTCCACCATGACAGCTGGGTAACCGCCTTCTTCGGTGAAGATTGGGTGGGCGAACCAACCGAACTAGAATATAAATAGAGAAATGATGATTTACCAGCTACTGGTTTACTTATTCTTAATCACTAACTATTAAAATACTGTTCTACGTTAGAATGAACATCGATATAGAAAAAAGAAACACTAAAGTATATATGAGGCCGCTAGAGGCAGAGTGGCTTAACTGCAATTTTATGACTTGAGTTATTCATAATTTAATAGTTTAAAATGTTAATCTACAAGAGCATAGTGACCGAAAATTGTTAACATAATGCTTACTCAAATAATAGTAAAAATTAATTCTCACCTAAGTTAATTAAACGTTTTTTTTTTCCTCCTTATTGAAAATCGATGTTTTACTTATTATGCCACTTTGCCTCTAGCGACCTCATATATATGAATGTTTTTTGTTGTAAGGATATAGAACATCAGTGTTGGGAAATTATTCCCATCGAAGCTTAGTGGTTTCTTTAAAGGCTGTATAATTGTATATGTATGCTTTTTGTTATCTATATATTTTCAAATAAAACATTTCATTGTAAACCGTGCGTTTCTTTTGATAAAACTTTTTAACCGACATAAAAAATGAGCTTCTTTATTCAATTAGTACATACATATGGGGCATAACATTATTTTATATCCCTTCTATCTCGGAAGTATCGGGTGACACTATTTTATTTTTTAAGTAAAAAATAATTTGAATTTAAATTGGATAACGAACGATAAAAAAATCATAACAATTGTTAACAGATAGTCAATTAGCAATGACCTACAAACAAATGAATTGCTGTCTCTTGAAGGTTATTCAAATAAGTGTGCCTTCAATTCTAAGGAAACTAAAGATGAATTGTGTTTATTTACAATAATAGAAACTAAACGGATTCTGGGTTCTGGGTTCGAATCCTAAACAAATTATGTCAGTCAGGGGAAGTCAGATGAAGTAATTCAAAACAAAATCGATCACGAAAAGGGACAGCAATGTCCTCGCTTGTCTTTGATCATATTTTAATGTAAGTGTTTATATTCAATTGAAATACGGTTGCAACCGCCATAATGACGTAGCGTCACACATCTGCTTTACTAAAATCAGCTCAATATCTTAAACGCTAAGTGGAAAATGGAAGATCTAATTTTATTAGTAAAGTCATTTATACTTGAAGTGAGAATCAAATCCTATCCTATTTCGACACTGATGAAAAAGGCCGCATTTTAAATAAAACAATTTAACTGTTTAAAACGCGATATATAAACTTATTAGAAAATTATTTCACCTATGGCCTGACGTTTTGGATGCTCTGCAGCAGTTGTGCTCTCGGGCAGCAAAACACGAAACGTAGGGTCGTAGTTGAAATAATTTTCAAATAAGTTCAACTGATTTATATCGCATTTTAAACAGTCAAAATGTTTAATTTAAATGTGTACTACTCGCGTAAACTACATACAGTATTTAAGGACGCATACCTTAAATTGGTTGGCCACTTCAGCCAACGCGACCAGTTCAGAATCATTGGGGTCAGCTGGCTCGTACCAGATGGAGTTAATTGAGATCATGATTCTCCCGTTCTGTTTGGGCCTGTAAGTCTCATTGTACAAGTGGTACGCCTCAGCGTGGGCCTTCAACAGATTGTGGCTGCACAAGTAGTTTCCTACTCCGTGGCTGTTAAGAGCTGGTGCCTTTTTGATATCACCATACGCGTCTTCACAGATTTCGTAAGGCTCATTGAAGGTTATCCAGGACTTGATCTTGTCACCGTATTCCCTGAAGCAAAAGTCAGCATAGTCGCGGAAATAGTCGACCATTATGGGGTTAGCGAAGCCCCCTAAGTCCTGGAGAGATTGTGGCAAGTCCCAGTGGAAAAGAGTAACCTGTACAAAGATTTGAAATTCTATTTGGATACAGAACTAGTTAAAACATTTTTTAATGACAGAGGGAGACAGCCAAGCATGGGGTTGATGGAAGGTGAAGTACCACACTTATATAACATCTCGGCCAGATGTGCTGTTTATCTATTTTAGCAATAAATCAACAGACTAAAACCGAAACCCGATTAAACTTCACACCTTTTTTATCTGATGATGGTGATACGTGACTCGGGCGGAATTTCGATATTCCAACCCCCCTTTTAATATTCAGATTTCTAGGCGAAGTCCAACATGTTTCGGATATTTATTTAAATGATAAGAAAATCTATTGTAGGTAATAAATAGGTGGTAGGTTGAATAAGCCGTCAAGTTTATTTACAGTTCCCGTCTGTGGATTTCCGAATATCCAAAGCCAACACCATCTTGCAGACAGCGCGTCCTGTTGGTATATTATAAGGCTGGGGTATTCTACATTCCATCAAATGAAACGAATGCTTGTCTGACATCATCCGTCGTAAAAAGAAAATAATATTACAAATGGCTCTATGTTCTTTTCAGCGAGGGCATCAAGGAGATTGTGGTAGTACTGCACTCCTTCAGGGTTGATTTGGTCGATGCGTCCAGTGGGAAGCAATCTAGCCCACGAGAAGGAGAAGCGGTAGAAGTCCACACCAAGGTTGGTCAGCTCCTCGACATCTTCCATGTAACGGTTGTAGGAGTCGCATGCGATGTCTCCGTTTGTGCCATCAGCCACCATCCACGGCTTGGTGTGAGTCAAGTGGTCCCAGACATTTTCCGATTTACCTTCAATTCAAATTAAAGACTAAAAAAATACTGCGTCATATATTTTTCATCTTTAAACATTGTCTATAAATTATGAAAGTAGAAGTTTTTTAAATGAAACGCTTTTAACGGTTTAAAACGCGAAAATATTGGAACTAAGTTTCGTGATCGCGCCGGATGAAAAACATTCGAAACGTGGGGCCGTAGTTAAAATAAATTGAAATAAGTAAGTAGTTATCTGCTATATATTTTTGCGTTTTAAACCGTTAAAAGTGTTATATTTAGGTATTTTTAAAGTTTCTGTAAAAGGCACAGGAATCAAACCCAAGACCAACAGCGTACCGTACCTTTATTAAACTTCCTGTTCCATCAATCTTGTCGTGACTAAAATTTATCAAAGTACAAAATGAATTCGACGAACAAAGATAAGATTTAGGTATTAGATGGCTCAGTAATGCTAAATTTCCATTCCCATATATATACAGTTTGCAGGAAAATATAGATAATACATTTGATTGACAGGCTTTTTGAAATACTTATCAACTGTATCTTATTTTTGTAAAATGATAATAAACTCGCGAGTTGTCTTATATTTTTCACATATTATATTATGTTATTCAAAGTCTGAGTCGAACGAAGTGTTACTTTGGTTTGGTAACCGTCCGTATGCGTGTCACTAATTAAGATGCGATAATTGTTAAGTCCTATCAGCCTACACTGGAGTAGCGTGGTGGGTCTAATCTCTTAAAACCCTCTCGTACCGTACCTTCGGGACATTAATAGTTTGAAACTTAGACAAGTTTGTCAGTTTTTAATAAGTAAATTTGATGGTGAAAGAATTTGAGGCCATGAAGTTGTCTATATGAGCTACCGGTACGTACCACTGTTGATACTTTGGTCTTTTGGGACATGTAATCTATAACGCTGGTAAAGGGCGTGTTTCTAGATGACACAAGTCACGTAATTTTTAGTTCTATGACGTCATGTCCGTCCGACCCCCAACGATATTTTACGTCACCTGTGCGCAACATCTATCTATACTAATATATAAAGCGGAAGAGTTTCTTTACTTGAACGCGCTAATCTCAGGAACTACTCAATAGGATCGAATCGAAAAACTATTTTTTGCGTTGAAACAGGGAGAAATGTGAAAAAAAGGGGGAAATTTATTCGTCTTTGAGGGTTTATGTTGGGTGCCCTGCGAAAACGGTTTGATACCCAAAAATATATGAAAGAATCTCTAAATAACCTAAAATATATAAATGTCTTCTTTTAAAATTAAGAAAAAGAACGACAGGATGCGACCGACATCGTGGGTAACAGCCAGTGTACATAAAAAAGCTATTTCGATCCATTTATATGGTTAAGGACGAACACCTTTGGAATTTATAATGACAATATATACATGTTCACTGAGCATGGTTCACTGTTGTTTCTAAAACATAATAGGCGTGTACTAACCGCTTACATTCCAAGCTCCCTCTATTTGGTGCGCAGCAGTTGCAACACCAAAGATGAATCCTTCAGGAAACTTGGTGTAATGAGCATGGCTCCTGAAAAAAATCACACAAAAACGCGTAAAGAGTAGTCTTTTGTTTTTCAATACATACCTATTTAAAAAATAGGCTCTAAAACAAAATGTAAGTCGCTAAATGTAGCCTTCTTCGTTCAGAAAATCAATATATCGTTTTAACAATAATCCTTAATATTTATCTATTGTTTACCGATTGAATTAATTAAGGAATGTGAGAGGTCCTAGGTTCGAATCCCGGGACAACAATATATCGTTTTGGTCAGATACAGAAGTGTGAGCCACTGCTTGCCTTTATAAGTGATCAGCAAAATGGACACAGAAATCTATTTGTCCCATGCCCCACGGGATTTCACTTTATTGTACTTATCTATTGACCACCTTTTTATACATATCATGTCATTGCTATATAAAATAGTTGATTAAATTGCCCGCAATGCATGTATTTGAGGAATAAATTTCGTATATCTGGTTTAAGTACCGTTAACAAGGGAGAGGTTTTAAGTACGAACTCTAAATTTTACATCAGCAATCACGAATGAGACACTATAATAATTGTACATTAAGTTAAATTAAGTTTATATCTTTCATTACGAAACAATTGAATTGAATTGAAAACAGTCAATCAATTCGTTTCTGTTTTACGTGTTTAGTTTAATCAGAATAACGGTATCGTATGTAATGTTATGCTAAGTATAAAACAATGGTATTTGTACTTACACACAGCTTGTAACAGCAAGGAGGACAAAAATAGCAACAGTCGACATCGTGCGCAGGCGACGCCGCACTTAAGCGCACTGTACCGAGCTGTCAAGGCTTTTGCTTTTTAACGCGAACACAATATCTCGAGAGGTTAAAGAAGCTTCAGATAATGTCATAGTAACATCGGTGATAATCTTTCCGTGTTGTCAGGGAATGTTTATCTTGGATAAGACAGAGTTAGCACATTTATGTAACTCCCTTTGCGGGGGTTGTAAGAACTTTAAATGATACAATAAAAAATAAATTATAATGCGCGAGAGGTGCATGTATCGAATGGTTGAAAAATTCGACGTGTAGGCACGACAGCTCAATTGTTAGAGCAACAGCGCGGAACGCTGTGGACAACGGTTCAAGTACTGGCCGTGACGCAAAATTTTCTTAATCTACTTTTCTTTAATTTAAACAAAAATTGTGTTACATAAATGGGTTAAAAAGTTAAGTCACTTACAATTTATTTTAACTACGAGCTGACGTTTTAGCTGTTTTGTAGCAGCCATGGTCACAGGAGGACTGTAGATGGATGTTGACCCTAATGTAAAAGGCAAATCTGGTACGTTATCGCCATCTGTTTCATCGTAGTTGGTATTTTGTGTACAACGCCCCATCTTGAATTTTCCCGTAACCGAGGCTGCTACGAAGCGTCCCAAATGTCCCAGCCGTAGTTATTTTTGGTATCGGTATCGGATCCTTTTTGCTGGTTACAAAAATTAAAAAGAAAAGCAGATGGACACTTGAAGTGTTAACAAAACGATCACTTCCCCGTGACGACGGCTACTGCAAAGCATCTGAAACGTCGGCCCGAAGTTACAGCCAACTGTACAAAAAGGTATTTCGCGACTTAAACCGTTTTACTATTATTTTATTAAATGTGCTCGCGTACACTACAGACAGTTAAAACACTAATTTTGTAATATTGTATTATAAAATATAATTGATATTTAAGGTATACAAATAGCCATTCTTCCCTCGTGGATACTAGTATACCAATAATTAGTTACAGGTACATGAACATTTGATTTCCTAGTACGGAACCCTTCAAATACGCTTTCGTCTCGCACTGGGTCCGTTTTATTTATTATAAAAACTCAGTGCTTTCGCAGTTCCACATTATTTTCTGATCTAAGCCACGATCATCAGGTCTACGTTTCATCCAGCAAGCCCTGCATCACGCAAAGATAGTCTATGGAGGTGGCGAAGGAATGTGCTAGAAGTATTGCCCTGGTGAGTACTTCGCGGACTTTCCACACATCAGCAGCGTTGAACTGCCGAAAAGCGCAAGAGAGTCCGCGCTTGATTATCCCGAGCGGTTGAAAACGCCATGGTTGATCCAGCCACCAACTAAAAAAAACATTATATTGATTCACATATATTGTCTGCTACTTTTAAATACAATAAACGTCGGGACGTAGTTAAAATAATCAACTAATATATATCGCGTTTCAAACCGTTAAACTGTTTTATTTAAATACAATTCTTTCAACGGTTTAAAATTCGAAATATCCTAGCTGTGGGGGTGCCCCAGCTAACCCCATGGGTAAGGGTCCCTGATGCTTTGCAGCAGCTATTTGCTCAAAACATTCGTTCATAGTTAAAATAAATTGTAAATAAATTAATTAAAATGTTTCGCATTTTAAACTGTTAAACGATTTTTATTTAATTGTGTTATATGTCTGCCTTTGTTTGGTGAACTATTCCTATCTAATTACGAATTTTAATGTTAACTTTTTTATTGATTTACGTTGCTTCTTTTTTATGACAGGCAAACATGTGAATCATTTGATAGGTTTGCAAATTCACAGGCTGGTGATTCGTGACCCGGACGGAATTTTAATATCCAGATTTCCAGACAGCGTCCAAAATTTTTCTGAAAATTAGAAACATGTTGGATTCCGTGGGGATCGAACCCACGAGCCGTTGATTTTTTGCCATACATTGCAACATTAGACTAACGAGCGAAACATAAACAAAACACAACAGCCGTACCTTAGAAACAGACTCTCGCATGTAAAATAGGTGACCGCGAGAACAAAGATGGGGTAGATCAGCGGCATCAAGACGAAGAGGCACAAGAGCAGAGTTCCAATCAGTTTCAGGAATGTAGGGAACGGTGCACCATACCTCCACAGTGCTTTTATATCCCCCATGAACTCCTTACATAGAACCCGCACTCGCCCGAACCCCGATGAAGCGCGGAGCTACTGAAACATCCGTATGGTACAATGGCCAAATTTGTATATAGTGTATTTTAGATAAAATCGTGATTTTCTCACACGGTTTACATTGATTGACACTAAAAGCACCTGGAGACACTAGATTATATAATAAACTAATGAACTACCACGACTTCACTTAATAAAAAGTACACTTCACGGTCAAATTAATAAAAATTAAAATTAATTTACGCAAATGCACAAAGTAAAATTAGATTGACATGCACATGAACATGGGGTGTGAGTAAAGACAACGACTATAGAAGGTACTATAGAAGTAACTAATGAATGATTGATGAATAGCCGTTACAAACGTTGACCTAAATAGTAATCACATAAAAAATAAGTCGCCATCAAAGTGATTTAGAATATTGAGGTCTTTCAATCCATAAATAATGAGTATTTTTTAACCCTGTGTCATCCTCTACTACACTCTTTAAAAGGGCATCACTAGTACTCTGTGGTTTGCAATCGGCCATATTTGTTGTGGTCTTTTGACAAGTTTAGTATTAGGATTGTGTAGTTTCTATTCCTGTTGTGATCTAGCTATATTTAATATTATTAAAAAAACTGATGATAGTGCCGTAACGCTTCACGTAACGAACCTTAACCCTTACAAAACGAATTGACTATTTAAAAATACAGTACATATTTAATTCGCTTCAATAATATTAACTCGTGCGCAATTTTTAGCGATGATGAAATGGTTCAAAACGCTAAATATATTATTAGTCACGGGGGTGACTTAATGTCGGGCCGTAGTTAAATAATAAATAAAATTTTAAAAACCATTTAAGTTAAACGGTTTTATTTTTTGTTTACTGGAAATGTCAATTTTTAAATTTTGACATAATGACCGTGTTTAGTGCCCTTTCATTTGATACTCATTTTGGGCGGTGAAGAATAAAAATACCAATGTAATCCGGCGTTTTGGCCATCTTAGACTTATAATGTTATTGAATATATTTGCATTGTCACCTAAATTAAATGTGTGTACCAAATTTCAGATCAATCTTACAACGGGAAGGTGCCTAAATTCCGATTTCTAATTTTGACCCAAATAAATAAATTCCGTACGGGTCGAGCTAAATAAACCGTTTAATAAGTTAATGTTTCGTGTTAAAAAAACTCGTTTCGTTATCGGTAACCCAAGAAAGTAACGGCAAGTCATATTAAATAAATCATGAGTTTTACAGTCCTTTTATTTGAATTGTAAAACATTGAATTTAATTTATAACGTGCTGAATGGTGTGGGTCAATATTGTTACATGTTAATGTGAGTTATATATTAAGACTCAATTGAAACGGATACCTGTAATAGATTCGGGCACGGCATAAAAGTCAGATAAACTACATGCCTTTTTAAATAAAACAGTTTAACGGTTTAAAACGCGATATATGTTAGTAAAACTAATTTGAAAATATTTTTAACTATGGCTCGACGTTTCGGATGCTTTGCAGCATCGGTTACGGGGAGACCGTAAATCTAATATATATTGCGTTTTAAACCGTTAAAGTGTTTTATATAAATGTGTACTACTCGCATAATCTACAGACAGTATTTAACTACATGTCTGTAAATCGCGTTTTTGTATTAAGGAATATAATTACGTACTTGTACCATGAACGCTTTGTTTGTCCGTCTATACGGTTTCATTTCATATAAGTTAATCACTTCCACGCAACATTGATTTGTATTACAATTACTGTATTACCCAGCTGTATGATATTATTTTAAAAGTTACATTTTACTGTAATTATGTTTGGTTGCTCATGCTATTTTTTTGTTTGTTTTGATGGTATGTAAACAATTGGGCGTTGTCTTGGAGACGACAATTGAGAATGACAGATATTTTTCAGGTTGTAATACGGTGAGGGCGGGCCCGGATTAAGGCCCTTCTCCTTTAAGCAACCGCCCTGCCACAAAAGAGGTCTCCCACGATATCGGAGGTCTTTGTGAATTTGAAAATTTTATTTTTTATTTTTTACAGTATTCTAGTTTTCGATTATATTTATATGTTTGATAAATACTAAGAACATCTAACTCATTGTTATTTTTAAGAATTACTTTATTTAGAAAATATTGTGGAGTTGGGAGTTCTTTACCCCTTTGCTCTCCTGAAGCTTCAACATTTCTAAAATCGCCCCAGAATGAGGGGGTAAATCCATAATCTTCAATGTATTTATTCTTTTCAACGTCAAGAAGAGACTATTAACTTATTTGATTTTTTATTTTAAATAATTAGTATGTTGAAATATCATGCATGCTCTAAAAATATTTAAATTATCATATTCTACATGAATTCCTCCGTGGTTTTATAGTAAAGCACATCGCGTTTGGCGCGAGAAGTTCTGGTTTGGAATCCCGAAATCAGAATTTATTATATAATTTGTCTCGGTTTGACATGCTACAGTAGTACTCTACAATTGTCGACTTTGTCTGACACAAATGAGTCTCCGTAACACGATAGCGTATCGTTAACGGTATGTGAAACAGAATATAAGTTATAAGTGTCACGACAATGTTTCAATACCCTTATTTAAACAAAAAAAATGTTTACACTTGAGAAAAAATTGCGTGACTTATTCTGACAGGCGTTGTATTTTAGGTTGAAAATTAACTCCCCGGGTTTGTTCCAATAAACTACAAAAATAATAGTAGGCACGTTATATCAAAAAAAATAAGTGTAATGTAGAGATTATTGTTTTTTTTAATATGTATTAATAATTATACCGTATTAATATTATTAATAATGATAAATCATTATCACTACGTCTTGACTACTAACGGTTACAAATGTAAAATAAATATAAATCAATTAAATTCAACAACTATCTTTAGTGTACGCGTGTGAGTGAAGTTTACTTTTAAATAAAACACTTTTAACGGTTCAAAACGCGAAATATATTAGTTAAACTTATTTACATGCGCCAGGCCGTAGTCCAAATAAATTGTAAATAAGATTAACTAATACATTTCGCATTTTTAACCATTAAAAATAATGCATTTAAACGAATTAATTTTTACATAATTTTTGTTTGACTAACAATAGTTAGCATACTAATGGTTTTATTTAAATAAAGCACTTTAACGGTTTAAAACGCGATATATTAGTTAAACTTATTTAAAAATGAATGTTCAATGTAAATGTTCATCAGTCAAATGGAAGGTCTATTAATAAAAGCAATGCTTGTTCCAGTGACCTTACATCGTGCAGAACAATACTAAATCATTGTGTAATATTTGTGTGAGGCAAAAACGTAATAAAACATAACATCTTGTTAAATTAACAAACTTTAAGAGTTTTATTAATACCTCAATGTAATAAAATAAATTATTATTGAACTTAGTCGAAGTACAATTCCACTGATAAGAAAGAGTCAAGGTAGAACGGGTGTTGCGTATTTTTTTAACTAATGTATAAAGCTGAAATGAAAAATTATTTTTGTGTTATTTAGAGTGTTTATCGAGGAAGGCTTTATAGATATAAGATCGCGTTATGACTAATAGAGGCAGGAACAGCGGGAAATGTGGAAAAAACGGGGGAAATTATTCAACTTTGTGGGTTTCCGATACGTACGCTGCGAAAACGGTCCAAGATACCAATAAAATGTGTATGGCAAATTGATTCCTCATAAAATTCTGTAAAAATATTTTCCCAAATATGTCTATCTTTTAAGATTAACTTGCTAGTTTTGAACCATACTTAGACCGACGAAAACATTACCCCTTTTTTGCCGTCGGATAGAAATAAGAATGAAAAAAAAATAGGGCAAAGGTGAAACAATATTTATACGATAATAGTTATCTACTGTGTCCGCTGTGTGTCAATGCTGTAGTGGAAATAAATATTGATTTTCACTCGGATTATTGTACTGGGAGGCTGTTAATAGTCTACTTTGTTCTAACAAAGTCAAAATGATGTCAATATCAATTTTTTTGTGCCTGTTTGTAATCATTTTGTTGGTGGTTTTTCTCAATTCGATACAGAAAAATGAAGTGTTTGATAAAATACCCGGACCACCTGGTGTGTTTTTATTCAAAAACTCTTTAGATTTTCTTATGGATTCAGGTGTGTATATAAAATATAAAAATTTAATTGCACTACTTATTAGGGGTATAATAATCTTTTAATAACTTAATCTATATGTATTTTATTTCAAATATTATCGAAATTGAGTATACTTGGATTAAAATAAATTAGAAGTAAATTATTCCTTTTTTATTTCCAGTGAGAACCTTCCGTTATTTCACAATGCTGTGCAATAAATATAAAAAGATATTTAGATTAAAATTTGGCCCAAAGAATATCGTCATCTTATATAATCCAGAGGACGTCGAGGTAACATATAATGTAATATGTGTAGTTTGGAGTTGACCCAATTAACCATGGGTACTGGGTTCTATAACTACCAAATCGAAATAAATATAGTCTATAGTTTACGCGAGTAGTACACATTTAAATAAAACACTTTAACGGTTTAAAACGCGATATATTAGTTAAACTTATTTGAAAATGATTTTTGACTTCGGCCCGACGTTTCGGATGCTTTGCAGCAGCCGTGGTCACGGGGAGACGGGGAGTTTTCTACCGTTAAAGTGTTTTATTTAAAAAAGAAATAAATACACTTTAAAATCTAAAGTTAAACTTATTCTTGTTGAAATTTGTTAAGTACTTCGTCTGACAAATCTGGATATTATTGGAGTGGTAACAGTGTCGAAATTCTATTCAATTTATTATTTCTTCAGGATTCGAACCCACGACCTCTCCTGCTTAAGCAATGCCAAACAATACCATATATTTGATATTACAACACGAACTTCTACTTTTAAATTAAACACTTAACGGTTTAAAACGCGAATAAAATAGGCAACTTTTTTAAATTTATTTTACTAAAGCCCGACATGGGGTTACGCATGTATTGCAGAAGCGAAACGCCCCTTTCTCTCGGGGGTTTAATAAGTGAACTTATATGTTTCGCGTTTTAATCAGTTAGGTGTTTTATTTAAATCTGTACTACTCGCGAAAACTACAAACAATAGGTACTTCAACTGTTGAATTTTATGCGAGTTACAAGTTTATTATATTACTAAAATCGTAGGGGAAATTTCTTAAAATAAATAATTATATTAAAAATTAGATGTATTTATCAATTTATAGATTCTTATATCAAGAACAAAGTATAATAAAAAGGGCTTTCTATACAACTTCATACAACCGTGGCTTCAAGATGGCTTACTTCTGAGCAATGGTAAACTTTAATTATGTTTTACGAACATCTTCAATATCCAAACCATCTATTTTAATCACAACATATTTTCAGGGGACAAATGGCGCGAGCGACGCAAAATTCTGACACCAGCATTCCATTTTAATATTCTGCGAAACTTTTACACAATTTTAGTTGAGAATACTGAAAAGTTTGTGCACCAGATAGACATGGAGACGACTAAAGAGAAGAGTGATATTTTTGATCTAGTAACGGACTTTACATTGAAGTCCTTGTGTGGTAAGTATTAAGTAAGGTCGAGCATCTTGTCAAACTTAACTGGGCTAATTCTATAATCATGTTATCAGATATTTTTTACGAGTATCCAAAGGCAACATAGGTAGGCATCGCATCTTCTGTAGGTGCTATATGGCTGGGATATTCCACCACCCATCCTCAAGTGATTCCCATGTCAAATGTTTAAGTCAAAAATCATTATTTTATATAGATAAACTTATAAACGACATAAAACTTGAGAATCTAACTTTATATTTACTACCAGTGCTCAAATCAAGGGCGAAGAACGTACGAGAAGAACTGGCAAAAAACTCGCCGCCACTCCTTTTATCGTCAAGTTTAATTTTACTTGTTCTTCTCTATCATGGAAAAACAAAAATTGATTCTATTTAGATTTACAAAATTACGACACGGGTAGGACTTGCGGCTATAACTAATATGGCTATCGTGTTAGAGCAGCAGCACGGATGACGGTTCTAGTCGTGCCAGTGTCGTAAATTGTTCAATCTAAATAGATTTTAAATATACGTATATAATGTCATCATGAGTTATAACATTAGAGAGTTTAATTGCTTTTCAGAAACAGCAATGGGAACGAAGTTAGACGACGAAACGTCCGAGTTCGGAAGAACATACAAAAATGCTATACACGATCTTGGGAATATTGTCCTGCATCGGGCGCAAAGAGTATGGATGTACCCAACCTTTATGTTCAGTCTCACTAAATTTGGACGGACACAGAAGAAATTGCTTGACTTGATCAGTTCATTTAGGGATAGAGTCGTGAAGAAACGTAGAGACGATTCTATTAATGTGAAGAATATACATTTTAACGACAATGAAGACGATTTTGTGATTTATGGGAAGAAGAGATTGGCTATGTTGGATTTATTATTGGAAGCGGAGAAGAACGGTACTATCAACATGCAGGGTGTTAATGAGGAAGTAGACACATTTATGTTTGAGGTATGATCTACGAGTAATAATATTGTTAGTATAACAAAAAACTATTTATGGGCTATACTTGTGCTAAAAGTATTTGTAGTATTAGTTAGCATCCTTATAAATTAAATAATTATCCAGGTTTTAGCATATACATACAGAGTCTTATTAAATTGTTAAACTACTACTTATATGTATAGATTCTCTTCCACTTCGAGAAGGCTACTTCAAAAGTACTAATACTAATATCGCGCTCACTTTGGTTAATCGAATACTTCAAAAACCAAGACTTGATAGAGAACTGTCATTGTCAATTGTCAAACTATACATTTTGTTTGAAAACTTTATTATTTTTTACATGTTAATGCACATGAAGGCACTATATAATTTAAAAATCAACCAATTGCGCTACCGAGTCGAGTTAGAGCAACAGCACGGAACGCTGACGATGCCGATTCAAGTCCTGCCCGAGTCGAAAATTTTTTCAATTAAATTTCGATTTTTAAATTATAAAATTTGTATTTGAAATTCGATATTTACTCATATCTGTCATATATGGTCTTAAAACCCTTACCACTACTTTTAGGGTCACGACACAACTGCCACTGCTCTTCAGTTTACTTTTATGATATTAGCCAACCACCAAGAAATTCAGGTAACTTTTTAATCTTATAAGGCAGTGGATTTAACGCTACTACTAGAACTAAGAAAAAAACAGTAGTTTACTTACTGTTGTAACTGTAACAGTGTAACTGTTTAAATATTAACTTTAAATAATATAATTTTGCAGGATAAAATTGTTGAAGAATGTAATGCAATTGTATCAGCAGAAAAAATGCCAACGATGAATGATTTATCTCAAATGAAATATTTGGACTGTTGCATTAAAGAAAGCTTAAGAATGTTTCCACCTGTTTTCTTCATTTCGAGAAAAATTGATGAATCTGTTATATTGTGTATGTATAAAATCAAATTGTCTGTCTGTGTCTGTTGTCTGTTGTCTATTGTCACAGCGCAGACGCGAGTAATACACGTTTTAATGACCACTGTCACTGAGATTCCGATGCGATAATAATGCAATGGTTAAACTTTAATCCAATTGAAAATAACTTTGATTTAGAAATTGACAAGTGATGTTCCATTTTTAAATAAACCCTTCTGACCACCACTGTTGCCAAGCATTCTAAGGCGTCGGGTCATAAAAGTCAGCTATTATATTTCGTGTTTTAAGCCGCTAAAAGTGTATTCTTTTAATACTTTTTTTTTACTTGCGCAAACTTCAGACAAAACTCAACATCAAGTATATTTCAGCAACATACGAATGTCCACCTGGCTCCGAGATCCACATCATGATTCGTGAACTGCACCATGTTTGTAAGCAGTTTGAGAACCCCTTCGATTTCAGACCTGAAAGGTTTATGAAGGAACCAACATGGCACCAATACGCGTACATACCTTTTAGTGCTGGACCTAGAAATTGTATTGGTAACAGACTTGGACTTACAGATGTTTTTCTAGAGGTTTCAAAGATAAATTATTGTTTACTTTGTGTCGTACTCATACAAAAACAATAGTTTCAATTTGTTTTGCTCATTTCTCAATAGGATTTGAGCCAGGGTCCAGTTTTAAAGTTTAGCCTGCTTCAATATTGGAGGGCTTTCACGACTACCTCCAGAAATTAGTAACGACAACTTTGTTGAAGAAACGGGGCGGGAGTGGGTGGTGACGACATCTTTTTCAGTTCTCTGGTACTAGGAAGCCTTATATTACAAATTGATTGATTGAGCGAAATGTAACTTATTAATTTCGCGCAATAAGGATCTAATATATTACCTATCTTTAAAGAACTATATACGATTAATTGTAAGGCGGCTACTGAACAAAGACAATTAGTTATTTAATAGTTTTACTAACTGATCTACAATTTCAGGACAAAAATTCGCTATGATGGAGATGAAATTAGCACTATCCACTGTTCTCAGACGGTATAAAGTACTTGCTGTAACGAAACCAGAAGATATATCGTATTTAGCAGATTTTATTTTAAGGTCCAAGGACCCTGTTTACGTAAAATTTGAGAGAAGATTTACGTAAGACTACTCCGACCTACTTTTTATTGTTTGTAACACCAGTTAATAAATAATGTAATTAAAATATTATTAATTCATTTTATTATCTGCAATTAACCTACGTCCCATGTCAAAGTCAAATATGAAACGCTAGCGCCATCTGTTTCGTCGGAGTTGGTATTTGGAGAACTTATCTGGTTCCTAACAGATTCGACTCTTACATGTCGATATGTCGTTTTTGGGTATTCAGCTTTTATAATTTATGTTGTGTTCGATATCTCTAAGCAGTAGCAACTTACGAAAATAAGTCTAGATATAAAAAGTTTTCTATTTAATGTTGTTAATGAGAGGGTGAATGAAATATTTGACGTAAAGGTTCATTTCATGCTATGATAAGGACGTTGACTATTTCTGAGAAAGTGTTTTATATTAAAGATAGACGTACCTCATATAACGCTTAACATCACCGAAATATCTTTTCAATTTTAAACAGTCCGAACAATGTTTTTAAAATTATAGGAACGTCGTATTAACGTTATTGATTGACGTCACAGCTGCTTAAGATCGAGTATAATGTGGATGGAGTTAATAAAAAGAAACACGAGCTTTTAGTTTTAGATGTGCTGCGGAGTATCTCCGTATAAAAGCAATACAAAGAACAACACCTGAAAATGTATTTATCTTTGATCCTCGTTCGGTGAAAGCAGGAACTACCAATTTGCATTCAAATATTTTTTATTTGTTTACAGTCAACATCCCTATTAAGTTTAGCCTCCTTACTTTATATACTTATTCATGGTCACAATAAATTACTGTAATAATGACTCACTCAAATCAACAATAATTTTTGGAGGTAATATATTGCCTACGTATTAAAATTTTCTCGCATATTTTTTTTTGCGTTTTTCTTTCGCACTTACGTTACGAAGCTGCGTCAGTTTTACTTTAACTTCAAATTGAATTGATTCTAGAATTTACTGTTATTAATAAAATTATTTCAAGTGTTCTGTGGTTTTGTTCATAACAAATCGTGATGTGATTTCGATAAAAAGGATTATATGTAACACGAAACAGTCGTTATTGTGTGTTAAAATTCACGTTGTGAAAATTATTAAGTGACACTTATTCCTTTTATTCAGTTCGTGTATATTTCATTAGTTTTTCAAGACGTCTATTAAAAAAATACAAGATTAAAGCATGTTAACTTACTAATATACATTTTAATAACTGATATTATTCAAAAGTTAAGATTTAAAAGATAACTTTAACATACAGAATGTTTCTAGCTCTATGTATAGTTATGGCTATACTTTGTGTGGTGCATTATATATTTAATTACAATGAAAGTGCAAGGATGATGAAAAAAATACCTGGATTCAAGTTCAACTTCATAGTCGGCAACGCGTTTGAAATATTAGTTTCGCCAGGTACGGGTTGTTACATAACTGCGCCAATATTTGTAATCTATTGAAACAATCTAAGACAACGACTGATAGAATATTTGTTACTGTACTGTACTGTACTGTATACTGTGTTAGTGTCGTTTCTCTAGCAATTGATTCGATTCGACCGTTCAGTGTCTACTGCTGGACATTGGCCTCCCCCATAGACTTCAATACGACCACCCGTTCGCGAATTGATCGCGTTTCCCTGCTACCGTGACCAGGTCGTCAGTCCACCTGGTAGGAGGTCGTTCAGGTTTTCGACGCGTTTTTAGCAATTGATCCGGTGAACATAAAGAGATGAGTAAATACCACACAAAAAGATATAAGGCTGATTAGAAATATAAAAATAACACATTTAATCTTAACAGTATAAAGATAATATGATCTTACACAGCTAATATCAGGTCCTTTGTTGACCTGAAACTGATTTTCAGTAAGTATTTAGAGTGTTGACCGCCTTTGTAACCAAATGGTTAAACGTATTGCCCAGCATTGCGTTATGCGCGAGGGGGCCTGGGTTCGAATCCCAGGGTTACACAAAAAAGTCGTTCCGGTCGGGTAGGGCACAGGAGTCTGATCAAATACCTGCCTGTTAAAAAGAACGGATCGCCCCACGCCCCACGAGGGAAACGGGATTTCACACACTTTTTTAGTGTTGACAGCGGTGGCATACGCAAGTGAAAATTTAAAAAATCTTCTAATATATAAAATTCTCGTGTCACAGTTTTCGTTGTCATACTCCTCCGAAACGGCTTGTCCGATTTTGATGAATTTTTTTGTGCTTATTCAATATCTATGAGAATCGGCCAACGTCCCCCATTTTTCATCCCCCCTAAATGTTAGGGGTAGTCCACACCTTATTTTTTTTATGATAGTTGAGTCATACGACGCCCGAAGTGTCTATGAAAATTACTCTTTATTTTTTTATGTCGTAAAATACTAATATAATAATAATAATATTCATGAAATTTATTTTAATTGATACCCCTAAATGGTCGTACCTATGGTTAAATGTGTTAGGATCACGTTGATCTCGAGAGGTTTTTGGTTCGTATCCGGGAAATACAGTATTGGCTGTGAAGGGTAAAGACGGATGATCATCTAACTCATCTTAAAGTAAACTTAATAACTTAAAGGAACACTAATGTATGTCTGCTCTATCCGTTCCTTTTATTTGTTCAAAATCTCATAGATATCATCTTGCAATTTTATTTCAGATGAATTATTCGACAAAGCAAGAAAATGGGCAACAGACTTTAAAGGTATATATGGATTTTACATGTACCCCAGTGCATGTATTAATATATACAATGCAGATGACGTTAAAGTAAGTAAAACATTAATCAGATAGTACTTTTAAATAGAACATTTCTAACGGTTAAAAACGCAAAGTACGTAATGTGTATAAGTTGATAATTTTTAGTGCGTCCGGATGCTTTGCGGCAGGTTCCGCCGTGACCACGCTTGTAGTTTAAATCGTTCAAAAGAATCTTTTCAATAAAAAGTAGGACAGACAAGGCCTCATCCTTGTCTGTACTTGATGGTAGACCAAAGAACCCAAGCATTATAACAATTAAACGAGATGCACTGTAGACAGAATAGATAAGAAATCTCCTATCTCACTTACTTTGTATTTACATTTTAGGTAATACTTTCGACTTTCAAACATCACCAGAAGAGTATCATCTATAATCTTCTAAAACCTTGGCTTCGGCAAGGTTTACTTCTTAGTAAAGGTTAGTATTTACTATTGTATATTTACTTATTTAATGGTATTAGCTGGATAAGGATCTGTTTTAAGAAAAGAAAACAGATCCGTGATAATATAATAAATCTGTGTTTTCATCATTCTAATATTAACGTAAAAGAATAAGCTGGTTATTCATCATTTATAATGGTCTCGTTATCAATACTTTATTGACAACTCTTTAAAAACCCATACACATTTTAAGGCAAATATAAATTTTCAATTTGAATAACTACCTATATTAAGATGAAACAAAAAAATCTACTTACGGCTTGTACTAGCTTCTCCCAATCAAGAGATTATCGAAATTCAAATTGACAGTACTTGTCATCCACTTGGCTGGCGAACATCGATTCTCAATAAGGAGGGCGGAACAATTCTTTACTTTTCTTTATTTATGTTTGGTGGTAGGATCGAAATGGTTGGAGCGTCGCAAAATTCTCACGCCAACATTTCACTTCAATGTCTTACAAAAATATTATCCTATCATGGTGGATAGCACGGAACGTCTTCTAGAAACCTTGGATCAAACGAAAGAGGATACTATAGACATATGTCCGGTTATTTCAGATTTTGCTTTAAGTTCTATCTGTGGTACGTTATTTTATATTATTTTAAATTGCTATAAGCGACTTGACGAAGTTAATTAAGATTACTTAATGCTTACAAACCTTGATACTTTTAATAGAAGAAATCATTCGTTTAGTCTCTTTATATGTAAGTATTAACACAAGATACATATACCACATTACTGGTGTCATGAAAATCTAGAAGAATCATTATTGAAATTGAAAAAGTATTGAGGAAGTTACTCATTTACTAATTCACGTTCAATAATTGTTAAAAATCAATCAAAAATTGTTTTCAGAAACCGCAATGGGAACAAAGATAAATGAATACGCAGACGGCAGGAAATATAAAGAAGCGATACATAGAATAAGAAAAGTGATATACCAAAGATTCGTAAATATCGTTCTGTCTGTAGACTTTATATTTCGCCTCACCTCGCTTAAGAAAGAATATACGAAATATCTATCTATAGTCCACGATTTTACTAAAAACGTAATTGAGAATAGAAAACGAGAAATGAAAAATATTTCAGAAACGGAAGTCATGAGTAACGAGGGTAATAACGAGAATGTTTACTTTGGGAAGAAGCGGACAGCGTTTTTAGATTTTTTGATATTGGCTCAAAGGAAAGGTCAGACCGATGAAGTCGGTATTCAGGAGGAGGTGGACACGTTTATGTTTCGTGTATGTTTCTTCGATAAAGTTTCCATATTAATTTGACAGATGTCCTCTCTCGTAAAGAGATGGTTTTTTCAACTCAACAATACAAGATTTGAACTATTGTCGCTTAAACTTAGCTTATCATCACTTAACCGTCGTTATCTACTTGTTTCATTGCTGTGCTCAGGTCTTCTCTATCATTTAGGTTTTTGCTGTGTTTGAGGTTAGGGTTTTGTCCCATCAAGTTGCATAGTGCGGGTAAGAGAACAAAGCTATAGCCTAAAAATAGTGATGATAACCAGAAACAATTGCTGAACGAGCACTACGAGAATAAATGCCTTGTTTATGTTCCAAATTAACAAAGATACCAAATCCAGGCCAATAGGATATAATAAGTTAGGCTGTAAAGAAAGAAATGCTTGTTTTAAAATATGTCAATTGTCTAAATTTCAAAGTACTCTATTAATATTTAGACTCCTATTATAAATTATTTTCCTAATTATATATAACAGAGTATATTTTTTATGTATATCATAGGTTATATATGACTAGAATAAACTAAATTCCTAATAATTTATTAGTAATTTAGTTTATTCTAGTTAGCAAAATCGTTATTTTGTTTTAGGGTCATGACACTGTTAGTGCAGCATTGACTTACTCTTTGTTATTATTAGCGGAACATACATCAATACAGGTATTTGTAGCTTTTGTGTCGACATTTTTTTTATAAAAAACTTTCTAACATTTAGTTTGTAAAAAATATCACTGGCACTCGAACTCACTATTGCTACCAATCGAGTAGGTATATTATACAAAGTTTCAAATTTAAAAAGAGATTCAATGTTATATGTACATTATTCCAGAAAAATTCATTACAATTTTTTGTGGAATGTATTAATATTTATTCTATTAGAAACTCTAAACCAATTAATTATAAAAACACCTGTGTTCCGTATAACACAAATTATCATACTACATACCCACATTATGTATTATTGTTTAAATAGGTTTCATTTAACATGATTTTAAATCATTTTCTATTTCTTCTTAAACATGTTGACCTAATTTGAAAAGCTTGGCCATTCATTTAGCTCTAAAAACATCGAAATTCCGTCCAAGTCCACTACTGTCCACAGAGGAGAAGCCGTGATGTGTGATGTCTTTTTACATAAAGAAATTTGACACCAAAAATAACATTAATGTTTTTTTTATAGAATAAAGTGGTCGACGAGTTACAAAGGATTTTCGGTGATGACACCAGAAAAGCAACTATGGACGACTTGGCTTTAATGCACTATCTTGAATGTTGCATCAAAGAGGGGATGAGACTCTACCCACCAGTACCATTTATAAGTAGAAGGATGACGGAGAGCGTAACTCTAAGTAAGTTTAAGTATTTATACACACAAAATCTTAAATCCTTACTAATATTATAAATGCGAAAGTAACTCTGTCTGTCTGTCTGTTACTCTTTCACGCCAAAACTATCGAACGGATTTGAATGAAATTTGGTACACAGATGGTTGAGACCCTGAGAAAGAACATAGGCTACTTGCTTTTTATTGCGAAAAGGGGGTTGTAAGGGGTTAAAAGGGGGGATGAAAGTTTTATGGAAATTTGTGAAAGTCTCTTCTTTGGCTTTTTGGGAATAGGAATGGGAGTGGGAGTGGGAGTGGGGGTGGGAATGAGAGTGGGAGTTAAAATAGTAGTGATGTGAGGTGAGAGTGTTACGGCAAAGTAGCACTTACAACACAGATTGGCTGCGATAAATGCGCAATTACATAAATTGATAACCAGCCTAAATAATCAAAAACTCTCGCTCTTACTCACTATTCCACGCGAACGAAGTCGCGTATAAATTGAAAACGTACTCGTGGAGTTACCAAAAATTTTCCTATAACTCTTCGCTTCGCAGTTAAAACTGCAAAGATTTGAGAAGTCTGTCTATTCCAATTTAATATGGGCATCGTCAAGAATAAAATAGTAGATTATTCCTAGACTGGCATGACCGCAACTTTGCACCAGGTAGAATGTTAGTAAATTTCCGTCTATCCCTGTAAAAAAGTAGTTAAAAAGGACTGAAATCGACATTTAATAGTATAGTTTATGCTTCATAGTGTTTTTATTCTTTGCAATGATTATAAAAATCTTGCTTAATAAGATATATTAATTGGTATTCAACTTTGAAGATTAATGGAGCAAAGATAGAAATAAATCCTTTTATTAGCTTCGATCCAGTACAAACGGAACTAACACTACGTCACAAAACGATACACGGTCGGACGACTATTAAAATTTCTAATGTATTGTTATTATACTTTTAGACACCACGAGTTGAATACAATAAGAACGCAATAATTATTACCTGGATCCATCTTTACGTTGAATCACTCAAAACAAATCAGAACTCTCACTATTTGCACTTTGTTTACACTATTATGGTATTTAAGTCAGTGGAAGCGTTTTTCATGGCAATATCAATCTTTATTGGTATTTCAAACTTAGGATGTGTTAACGAACACGACAAGTTATTCTTGATTTTTTATTCGCGTCCAATTCGGGAGGTGTTACTATCCGGACACTTATTTAAAGCTGGTTTCCTATTTTCAGTCCTTTTTCGTACGATTGGAACACTGGTTTCGTACGATTTTCTACTTTTTATTGATTATTGAAACGGAGCACTCGATACGTGATGTTTACTGTTTCGCGCCGGCATAACCTACCTAACAATACCTAAATAACGCTTCTTCCGAATTAATAAATAACACAACACTGTTCGACTATTCAATAGGGCAGTCTCCACTCCTTATGACGTCATCTTCCTCTCCATCATCTTCAGAATTCCTCTAACAATACATATGTATGTATAATATAATCTTATATTCTGTTATGTCCTGTAACGACCCTCGGATGGACGAAAAAATCTGAATAGAAGAAAATCTCAAAAGATCTTTTAATATTAATTGTATTGTTTTTCTATCTAAATAAATATACAAGTAGCCATTTCTGTTCAATAGTTGTCGAACTTTTCGGCCGTCGTAATTGAGAAATACTTCGACGTTTTGCAGTCAGAAGTGGTCGGTGTCATCTCTCTCTCTCGACTCTTATGAATAATTTATTTAATTTATAATTTAAATTCTAGGCAATTACACGGTACCCAGAGGTGCTATGTGCCACATTCATATTTACGACTTACACCGTCAAGAGAGCTTATTCAACAATGCTTCGACATACGACCCTGACCGCTTCCTACCTGAAAATAGTATTGGAAGACACCCATACGCCTATGTTGCCTTCAGTGCTGGGCCCAGGAATTGTATAGGTAAGCCTAGTGTGCTGTCTATTTAAATAAAACAATCTTAACGGTTTAAAACGTTAAATGTAATAGTTACACTTATTTACAAATTATTCAAACTATGACCCGACGTTTCGGAAGCTTTGCAGCGGCCGTGGTCACTGAGAGTAACGTCACCATAGGGCCGTACTTAAAATAATTTGGAAATAGGTTAACTAATATCTCACGTTAAATACTGTCTATAGTTTACGCGAGTAGTACACATTTAAATAAAACACTTAAACAGTTTTAAACGCGATATATTAGTTAAAGTTATTTGAAAATGATTTTTAACCATGACCATGGCTGCTGCAAAGCATCCGAAACGTCGGGCCGAAGTTAAAAATCATTTTCAAATAAGTTTAACTAATATATCGCGTTTTAAACCGTTAAAGTGTTTTGTTTAAATATTTAAACTTTCATCAAGTGGACCACATGCTTATCTGTCCTCTTCTAACCACCCCAAATAGCTAAGAATCACGATAAAACTTATGTCTATTTTTATGTAGAAGGTTATTTCAGGACTTTATGTATTTCAGGACAGAAGTTCGCAATGATCGAGATGAAACTAGCCATATCATCTATCCTGAGGAGATTCGAGCTGGTTCCGATGATAAAAACTGAAGACCTGAAGTTCACAGCTGACATAATTTTGAAAACTTCTCACCCTATACAAATTAAATTCATTAGACGTAATGCAATAAAAAAATATTCCAATTAATGGTCTGTTATCTAAATCATAAAGCAAAGCTTGTTTGTTTGTTCATACCCGCTAATCTCAGGACCTACTGCTTCGATTGGAATTTTTGTGTTGCATAGACTATTTATTGAGGAAGGCTTATGGCTATATAACATCACAATTCCAAAAAAATATAGCGGCAGTATGTATCTTTTAGGATAAACTCAAAACACCGTTTTTAAGTTAATCAATTATTTTTAGAGTTGTATAAACATAATAATCTCGTTAGCAACAAAAAACTAGATGAATTAAATAAAGAATATAAATAAATGAATCCTTAACGTGATTCCTAATAACAAAACTGATAGTGTTATCAGTTTATAAGTAATTAATAATATCTATTAAATCTTAACGCTGATAAATTTATTTTTTATACTTACTTCTATAAAATCCCGTATTATTGTTCAGAGTTAGAACGAGCATTCATTAGGAACAATTATATACATATACAGTATTGATAAAAACACTTAGTCGACGTCTTAGTTGTGCGAGTTAAGACGCTTGTACATTCTGGTTTTTGTGTTGACGATCTGTTGATGTTTTCAAAATGTTGTCAATTGTTCTGTTAGTGTTGATAGTGATTTTATGCTCGGTGGAATATTTCGTGAATAGAAATGAAAACGCGAGAGCAATCAAGAACGTTCCAGGCTTTAAGGACGTTTTCTTTTTCGGGAATGCGTTGGCCGTTTTTGGAATGAATTCAGGTTTGGTATATTTTATACTGCCATCTCATCTTTTGTAAGTTTATACTGGTCACCGTATATGTGTCCGATTCGAAGCTTATAATATCAATGAAATATAAAAATTAGGGCAATTTAATTTGCTTTTTGTTTTCAGCTGACTGAATACTACCATAAATCAAATCACTATTCTTGTCATATTAAAGTTGTTAAATAAAACGAATATAAATAAGTTAAAATGCAAATACTGTCTATAGTTTACGCGAGTAGTACACATTTAAATAAAACACTTTAACGGTTTAAAACGCGATATATTAGTTAAAATTATTTGAAAATCATTTTTAACTTCGGCCCCGGGGAGACTCCCCGTGACCACGGCTACTGGAAAGCATCCGATACGTCGCGCCGAAGTTAAAAAGCATTGTCAAATAAGTTTAACTAATATATCGCATTTTAAACCGTTAAAGTGTTTTATTTAAATGTGTACTACTCGCGTAAACTATAGACAGTATTTAACCTTATTTCTGTTATTGTCCATAATTACAATACATCAATTAAATAAAACCCTTTTAACGTTTCGAAACGCAAATTATTCATTATTTAAATTATTCGAGTTAACTTATTAATAATTTAATTTAAAAACTGCCCCACGTTTTTGGATGCTTTGCACTAAGCAGCAGCCGTGGTCAAAGAAAACCGTTTTGCACCGTTAAAAGAGTTTTATTTAAATTTCACATCTCACGAAAACTTAACATTGGTTTTTCTTTACAGTGGGTTTATTCAATTTGGGCAGAGAGTGTGCGAAAAAGTTTAATGGAATATATCGCTTTTATAGTTTATCTATCGCAGCTGTAAACATTTATAACCCGGAAGACGTTGAGGTTGGTACAATAATTTCAAACTAGCTGTTACCCACGACGTCTTCTGCGTCCCGTCGGACATTTATAGAGACCGATTAAAGTAAATCTTTCATATATATATATGGTGGCAGTATGATAAATGGTCTACTAAAGAATATTTTTCAATTCCAACCAAGTGGTTCTTGGGATTAGCGCGTTCAAACAAACAAACAAATAAACAAACTCTTCAGCTTTATAATACTATAGTATAGATAAAAAATGTCAAAGTTCACGGCGGTTTCGTCATAACCCGCTAATTATGTGTGACCAAAATATTTTTTTCAACATTTGCGAATTAATATTGTTTAAAATAATCCCGTCGACAATATACATGTTACAATTTAGACACAACTTTGTTGTGTATGATCAACTAACAGCCTAAATGATTAACCCAGTAAACACGTGAAAATAGGAGAAACATTTGATCAAAATAGATTGTAGAGATAAATCAATAGATTAAAAAAATCGACGATGACGTGTAGGACTCGATAGCCTAATTGGTTAAAGCAACAGCACGGAACGCCGACAATGCCAATTCGAGTCCTGCCCTAGTCGTTTTTTTTTTAAAGTTACAATCGATTTTTAATTTATATAGAGCAACTAGCTGAGCAGCCGGCAACCGTTGTTTTGCCATATAAATAATTTTACTAAAATGTCTATTAAAAAATAAGGATTGATCGTAGAAGGGTGAAAATTGAGGATTGTATGTATTTTTGTATGTTGTATCATAAAAAAATAGAAATTAAAAATTTTGTCTAAAAAATAAAAAAATAAATTTAAGGGTGGACAACCCTTATCACTTAGGGGGATGAAAAGAGATGTCCTATTCTCAGAGCTACTGAATACACATATGAAATTTGGTGAAAATCGGTCGAACCGTTTCAGAGGAGTTCAAGTTCGAACACCGTGACACGAGAAGTTTATATATTAGATAACACGTGAAAAATATTAAAGTTTTCAATCAGAATAGATTTTCCGGGCATTTACTTTCAAGTTTGCTTTGAACCACATAGTTCCATTGACGTGGGTAACACTGGGCACTTCTTGTAGAACAATAATGATGATTGCGCTGAGGTTAACGGTTCAAGTCCCGCCCGTGTCTTAGTTTTTAACTTAATAGATTTTTAATGTACATAACATTAAAAATTTATATCAAAATTGTGAGTATAATAAATTCAAAAGTTTTTTCATCTCAGTATTCTTACTTCATTAATGGGTACACTATCTTAATATATTTTTATAATATGCACAATTTTGCAGTCCCGGAAATCTAGACAAACCACCGTTTTTTTAATGTAATGAAAAAAATTTAAACGTTAATTTATTTTAATATTATAAAAATGAATAATAAGTAATATTTTAATCTTAAGATAAAATATTAAACGCATTATATATACGTTGTTATCACATTTTTAAAATATTTAAACTGATAAAATTTAATTAATTATCTGGGAAGATTATACCATTGTTTTATAATTTTTAATGTAATTCTTTTAAATAATAATAGACAATATACCTATTATACAATAATATTTATCTTATACTAGCTGTGCCAGCGACGTCGTCCGCGTAGAATGGTTATTCCGGGCATCCAAATTATGTT